TTCTGTCTCTCTGTCTCTCTCTGTCTTTCTGGCAACTGCACGTACCCTATAGCAAAAATGTCTCCGGAAAAAAAAAAAAATGCTTATAAGTCAGGACAGAAAGAGGTGGGGTGAACAGTGCTGAAATTATTGTGGTAGAGAGTTGAATAAGTGCATACCAAAACAAAGAGTTATTGAGTGATAAGGATTTGAAGTAAGTGATGCTGAGAAACAGTGAGCAGGAAGGAAGAGTGAAAGGAAAGCCAGATACACTCCTGAGTTCCACATTCTGTTATATGAAATGGGGGAGTTCAAGCAGTGGCTTCGGGAGGAAGGGCAGGTAATTGTTTCTTAATTAGAGTGGAAAGGAGAGTTATTAGTAATAGAGAGCAGAACTGTACCTTTGGGATACAGTTATAGAGCAATTTAAAAGTTCTTGACTAGAGAATATACCTGATTTTATAGTGAATTTAAATGGAAACTTTGAAAACATGGAGTTTTTGTGTGCTTTTAGGTTTTTGTCATAGGGCATATGAGCTGGAGAGCGAGAGAGGGAAAGTGAGAAATCACCTCCTGGGGTGGATGACCAAGCTGCAGTCCCTTCTCCATTTCCTCTTGGGATTTATGGCTTGTACACACATGCACCCAGTGTGATTTTCAGACCACAAGTCCAGGACACTTAACTGCTGTGGACTATGTGGGAGGCCAGCGCTTTAACCACCATGCCACCTGCTGCCCTCATGGAGTATTTTTAGTTTCCAAGAGCTTTAATATTCAGCTATCTTTTAACATATAATAAAGTTTTAAAGATAGTAAAATGTTTTTCCTGAGATTTTAAAAGATACATCATTAAATTTGAATCTTTATGACAAATGCTATCAGTATACCATGCATGTAAATTATTGTTTTCCTTGTATGTATTCAGGAATTATCTGTTAGGTGTTGTAAATTGCATTGTTAATTTCAAATTTTCTCTTTTTTTCTCTTTATTTATGATAGCGTATGTTGAGAGGGAGAGAGAGAAAGAGAAGTAACCCCAACATGGTCTGGTCACACTGCAGTACCCTTCCTCCAGTCCTCGAGCCCTCCAGCCTGTCAGATCCTGGCATTCTGTGCACATGCCCAGTGCCTTCAAACTGGCTAGGCTGAGAATTCAAACTGTGGGATCCTAACTTCTCTTCCACACTTCATCACTGTGACACAGAACCAGCCATCCAATGTTAATTTAGTGTGAACTTCTTACTCATTTTATTTCAAATCCTAAATTACAGGAGGATTGATTATTTTGTTAATTAAATGTTATTAAGTGTGTATTATGCCTCTTAGAGATGAGGTGAGAATGAGGAGAACACATTCAAGGCTGTGACACATATACCTGTGAGCCTTCCAACTTCTATTTTTGCTAACCTGGACATGCTGAAGTTGAGGTACTAGCAAGTTTAGATAAGAATTGCAAAATTGAGAAATGGAAGTATTTCTTATGCATACTTGCATATTCTGCAAGTATGTGATATGCATGATATCGGTAGCAAAATAATAGATTTCGAAATGTGCTTTTCATTGTTTTTCTTTCAGTTGTGTCAGTAATTTTGATTCAGCAGGTATTTATACATGCATCATTCACTCAGTGTTGACAGTTAGTAAATTTGTAGATTCTTTACATACGTGCCTAATCCTGTTTTGGTAAGGATCGACCTAGTGAATAGATGCCTGCATTAGTACTACCAGTCACTTGCTACTTGAGAGAAACCTTAAAGCTTCGAAACCTTGTTATTGAGATAAAGAGATAAAGAGAAAAAGACCATCTGTTATCCACTAAACCCCAACGAATAATAACATGAAAACCTGCTCTTGTATACATACTTTCAGTGGCTTTAATTTTTTTTTTTTTTTTTTTTTTTTTTTTTGCACTCCTAAAATTTTTTGAATAGGAGTCGGCAGGTTGGCGTGGTGGTTAAAGATGCTGGATTCCCACATGGCTGACTGAGGGTCAAGTCTTTATCACTTTCTCTCTCTCTGTGTCTTTCTCTGGTCAAATTAAAACAAATAATAATAATAAATAAAGTTAAATAATTCTTTAAAAAATGTCTTTTTCGACTACAGAGTAAACTTATATGGTTCAGAAATGTACATGGCTCACAGAAGTTTCCTTCCCTCTTCCATCTTCTATTTCCCCCAACCCACTTAGCAATTTATTTTGATGAACATGAATGACATGTCATTTGTTGGACTTACATTAAATAATGTTCAGTAATAAACCATTTTAAGTTAAGCTTAAACATTTTTTAAACCTTAATGATAATTTTAATGTTAATTTTTAACAATTCCTTAAAATACTGCATTACTATTTCTTCAAGAAAAATACATAGAAATAAAATTGCAACTATTCAGAAATTATATTTTAAATACAAGCAAAATTTTGAAAACTTTTAATCAGTATTTGTGTACCACTTTGTAGTTTTAGTATTCTTTCTGTAACTGCATTTGGTGTTTGATCCCCATGACACTCCTGTTACGAACGAAGGGCTGGAGGTGGAAGGTAGTACAGCTGTACAACACCGTGCTCTTTGGTGCCAACCCTCGTGGTTCAGGGTTTGTGACTGTAAACCTACCTACTTGTGTACAAGGCATACACATGTGTCCATGATCTGAGACTGGCTAGGTGGGGACTGTGGTGTCCAGGAAATAAATACATAAACTTTAAGAAAGGAAAAGGAGAAAGAAGGAAGGGAATATATTACAATCCTCATTTTTCTTAGGAAACAAATAGGAGTTTGTGTTTTGACTGTCCATATTCAAATCTAAGATTCCTAACTACAAATTGTGTGGTCTTCACACTGTGGCCTAGATTATAATTTACTTGGCCTAAATTATAATTGACTTGTCATAATTTTAAATGGCTTATGCCTGTTTTTAAATATACGTATTATCTATAATAAGATCATGATTACCTTTTTAAAAATACTGAGAATACTTAGTAGATACCTACATACCTGTGTTTGGTGGTGGGTTTTTTTTTTGTTTTTTGGTTTTTGGTTTTTTTTGGAGAGGTTTTTGCTATTATAGGGTGCATGTGCTCTCCAGAAAGACAGAGAGAGACAGAAGGCTAGAAATCATCTCCCAGGGAGTATGGCCACACCGCAATCCCTTATCCTCCATTCTCTTGGGATCTTTGGCACACACGCACATGCGCCCGGTGTGAGTGTAAGCCACCGAGTGCAGGACTTGAGCCATGGTCGGCTACATGGGAGTCCAGCAATGTAGCTATTATGCCAACTGCTGGTCCCTGTTTTTTGTTTTTTATTTACATTATTTTTTTAGGCTTTTGCCATAGGGTGCATATGTGCTTGCCAGAAAGAGATAGAGGAAGGGAAAGTGAAAAATCACCTCCCACACACCTGGGGGAATGTCCATGTTACAGTCCCTTGATCATTCTACTCTTTGGATTTTGGGCACATACATAAATGTGCCTACATGATTTCCAAGCCACTGGGTCTGGGACTTGAACTGTGGTTGACCTTGTGGGGGAATCCAGTGCCTTTACTGCCATACCAACTGCTAGCCCTCACAACATACTTGTATTTTTAAATTCATATAAATAAGCTTTTATACTTTTCATTAAGAAGAGAAATATTTGTTACCTAGATATTTTTATCACATTTGTGAGATTTAGATGCCAGTAATAACTTGGAGAAACATACTGCAAATTCTTTTTCCTCTTGAGAATGCTTTTATTTAAGTAATTGTCTACAAATCACTTTTTGGTTTCAGATTTTTTTTTAAAGAATTATTTTATTTAAATTTATTTATTTATTCATTTAAATTTGACCAGAGAGGGATAGAATGAGAGAGAGAGGGAAAGTGAAAAAGCAAATTGCCAGATCTGGCACTCGAACCGTAATCAGCTATGTGGGAGTCCAGCACCCTTAACCACCGCTCTACCTGCCAGCCCTGGTTTCAGATTTCTTAATGTTGTTTATTTAACTTATGTTTCTAAGTTGACTGTTTACTTTTAAAGAGTTTTTTTTTTATTTCATTTAATTTATTGTCATCATCATTATTTGTTTAATTTGACCAGAGAGACTCAGAGAGAGAAAGGGAGAGTAGGAAAGCAAGCCTCCAGGTCCAGAACTCGAACCACTGTCAGCCATGTGGGAGTCCAACACCTTAACTACCATACCATCTGCTGGCCCCTCTAAGTTGACTGTTCTTAAGTCACATCATGTTATAGTAAAGAATCTTAAATAAGCACCCAGTTCCCCCATTCAGGTAACATTAGTGAAAGCATTTTTGCACATAAAATTTTTTTCTTTAGATAACTTGTGTTATAAATACAACATGAATTGTATATATTTTAAACATTTTTAACACTTAAATATTTAAATTTTCTAAAACACTTTGTACTTTCCCGGTTTCTTCAGCAGAGGGGTTATATATCACAGTGACATGTTTAGGTACCTTGGTTAGCAGATCGTGGCATACATTTATGTACACTGCATACTTTGTTTTTGTTGGGCTCAAGGCAACAGTCACTTTCCGCTGCTGTTGTTTCTGCCTCTTCCAGGTAATTGACCTCTATCTGTTTTGCTGATTCTGATAAGCTTTTGCCTGGATAGTGGGTAACATGAGGAATTATCTGCTTATTAAGAATTCATAAATTCTTGTGGAAATTGTAGATATATAGAGCATAGCTATAGCAAAGAGGACTTTGACAGTCATTTCAGATATACACTGGCCTTTGCTTATTGGGTTCATGGGTCAGAGAATTGTGACCTTTGAATAAATGAGGCGTTGACCATTGTATTTTAAGGGTGAAGAGTTATTCTGATATTGTCCTTTGCATTGACGTTGCTCTGATTTACCCTATATTGAGCTGGATAAAATATTAATCATTTAAGGTCAAATTCTAATACATATAGGTTCTTCAATGGGTGCAACCCTGCTACCATAGCAAATTAGTGCAATAACTATAATGGAACTTTTCTTTTGAATTTGGCTTCTCTTTTTTTTCTGTCCACCAGGGAGTAACTATTCCCAGTCAGAGGCGCTATGTGTATTATTATAGCTACCTGTTAAAGAATCATCTGGATTATAGACCAGTGGCACTGTTGTTTCACAAGATGATGTTTGAAACTATTCCAATGTTCAGTGGCGGAACTTGCAGTAAGTGCTCTAAATTCTCATCCTTCCATGTATTGGAACACTTTTCTTAACATATCTGGAAGTTTATATAAAAACCTAGAAATAAATTTACCACGTTTAAAATTTATGCAGGAGAGTATATTTCTGAAGTATCCAAACTAATTGATTAGCTCTGTTGTTCAACTCATTGGATTAAAGACTCAAGAGCAATGGGTTTTAACATCATTGAAGCCAATTCATACTTATGAAAGAAATATTCTGTGCTGTAACCACCAAAAGTAGCTATTTCTGACCAAGCGAATAAGTACTGCCTCATCAGAGGTCCAACATGAGAGTAGCAGTGGGATTCATCCATTTACTGGTCGTGGGGCAGGTATTTGTTCATATCTTAGAAGACTAGATATTGACAGTAATGATGACAGGCCAATGAAAAAAAAAAGAGGAAAGGAATGATAAGATACTGCAGCAAGCCAAAGTATGATGACTGTAGAATAGGATTACATCAGACTGTGTGCAATGTTAGAGAAAACCTGAGTTCTAGCCCTCGGTCTGTCATTAATGTATTGTATAACTTTGGATACATCATCATTCTGCTTGTTTTACTCATCAATAACATGAAGAGATTTTAAAATCTGAAACTTAAGTGCTAAGTACAGATTATGTCATTAAGATCTGTTTCTATTTCTCTGTCTTATTCCAGCCTCTATAAGTCTACCTTAGTCATACTGATCCTATTCTGCTTCTCTACTTTTCTTGGCCATAATTCTTAGACAGACTGATAGGAAGCTTAATATCTGGACTCAAAACAATCCATCAAGAGAGAATACATGGAAGGAAGTATTATCCAGACCTGTGAAGATCACACTGTTGCTTTTTTTTTTCTGTAACAGAGTTTTGTAATACTGAAATTTAAATACCATCTTGGGAGTGATAATCATTTTTTCATGTTTAAGAAATATATTTTAGTAGCACTTAGAGTATAATTTTGTAGTTTCTAGATAAGATACCACTGCATTTTCTTAATACCTCTAATAGTATTTCAGTGACATTTTGCAGTTTGTTAGTAATTTTAGTTTTTAGCAAGCTTTGTTTCTTGAAATCACTTGTGTGATAAAATATTCTATCCCTAAATTAATTTATACCTAGAAAATATCTCGACATTGTTGATTTAGATAGGTCTGATCACCATTGCGAGATCTTTCCTATAATCTTGCAGCGAAGAAACATTATCAAAACCCACAGATTAACTAATATAGCATGCTAAAGATTTCTAAGGAGCTTCATTGAGCTTAATTGATTTTTTTTTTTCATATCGGTACAATTTTTAAAACTGCTGAGTGCAAGGCACTGGGCTGTTGGAGGTGATTAACATAGGAACGTAATAGAGAAGGAGAAAGAAGAAAAAAATCAACATTCTTCCTTGCAGTGTAGATTATCAGTGTGAGAGTCAAGAGAAAGATAAGAAGTATTATGTACATAAGGGAGCAAGAACATTCAGCTCAGTGATCTTATCGAGTATAATTTTACATATGGCCTCTCTAGCAAAAATCACGTCAGTTCTTCTCTGCCTGCCTACATTTAAACTATTTTTTTTAATCTCACAGTATTATTTTTCAACTTTAGTCTTAAAAGTATTAACTTCTGAAATCGTTTTACTCTTCTCTAATTCTCTAGTTCCCTATTTCTGCACTGTGATTTAAAACTGTATGGTAAAACTATCTCATAATACAGGTAATATGGAGCTAAATGGAAAGTTGTATATAAAAATTATAGAGTGATATATTAAGACAAAGTTTTACAGTTTGTCAGATAGTTTCATGAGGAAGAATCCAGCAGCTCTTTATTTTAATTCCAGAAAGCATACAGTTTAGATTGACATTTCAACCAAAGGAAGTGTAATAGGCAATAGAAAATTGTTTGAATTGAAGTACAGCGGAAGGAAATGAGCTGGATAAGCAGCGTACTGACAGAAAACAGAGTAAGAATGGGATGTGTGACTGACAGAGGATCCTGAACGGGATGTCAGACTTGATTTGATACACACTATAGTGTCATAATATACTAGAGGCTTAAACCATGTTTTAAGGACAGTGGTGTAGAAAGTTGTGATTGGGAGGAAAAAAATAGTGGACAGGAAACTAAAAATATGGCCTTAGGTCCGATGTGCTAGGGCATGCAAATGGAGTTTGACCCATTTTTTGTTGATTCATTTATATCCAAATATTTTGTCAAAAGTTTGGATCCTGGTCAGTTGAATGACAGAAGAAAGAAAAGTCATTCTGAGACTTGAGAGATACGAATGTTAATGTTTTGATTTCAAAAATGTTTTAAATGAAGTAAAAGGTGAGCTGTTCACATGAAGATGCCCATTGAGTACTTGAAAGTATAGGTTCAAATGCTTGTGAGAGAGAGAAATCTAAATAGTATTTGGAAAAGCATTAGGAAAGAGAGCTGTTAAGCTTTTATGTAACTATAGTTTGGAGTTAAGGGAAAAGAAACCTTGAGGACAAGCAGAATATGAGGACTGAGACTAGGGAATAGTAATGTGGGTTCAGGAGGAAGAAGAATCGGTGAGGAAAACAAGCCTAGTGGTAAAATACAAAGTATCTTCATGATTTTCAAGAGAGCAACTTTTTCTTACTTGATTATTATCTTAATATTTCTAAGTGAAAAAGAAAATTACTGATAATCTGTATATCCAAAAGGATTACAAGTGTTAATAAAAGTTGATCTGTTTGGTTTTCTCTCTAGACTATATCAATAAATTTCAAGAAAGCTTAATTATTATTTACTAGGTATGGGTCATGTTAGTTTAGAACACAACTGGTCATATCAAAGGACATATATCAGAACTGTGACATAAAGATCAACACAGCCATATTAAGGCTAAACTTAAGCTAGGGCTTGTCTGTATAAAACGTGAAATGCATATTGTAGAGGTGCTGGTTTCCTTTAGTGAGTTGGAGAAATCTTTACTACTTATTTTCATTAAAATATTTTTAGCTTAGTTTTTAGGCTTATACTATTTACTTTTAGTTTTTTAAAGTCCTGAAATCAGCATTATCAGATTCTGAACTAGTGCAGTTTAAATTATCGATAGTAAGAAGACAAGACATTTTCATTCTGATTTTTATCACAACTTTGAAATCATACCTTACTCATTTGCTCCTTCAAGCTAGATTTCCAAGTGAAAATTTCAGTATTACACAAGGTCTTGTGAAATGGCTCATCACACTTTGAACCTTTAGCCAAGGAAATGAAATTGATATATTGGTATAATATTGCCATTTAGAAGGGTGACTTTTTATTATGATAAATGTTTTTCTAATCCATATTAAAATAATTCCACATGTTTTATTGGACATATTATTATTATTATTTGATTGCTCACACTGCATTAAATATTACATAGATGACCCATAGGTATTTATTAAACTGGAAGTTTCATTTAGCTTCATTTAGATTTTACCTTGTTTTCTCAGTTGCTTGTCCAGTTAATACACATTTGAGACTTTTTTTCATCTTTAAGAATATAAAAATAGTGATGCTTTTGATGCTAAGTTTTATGTTTTAGGGGAAAAAAGTTATTCTGACATTGATGTATATGCAGGGGTCTTTAGAAAGTTAATGGAAATGCATGTTATGTAAGCTAAGTATGGATTTTGAATTTTTTGCACCAAAGTAAACTCATGCTTTAATTTTTTCACAAATTTTATGAAGTCTCTGGTGTATATATACGTAGATACATACACTTTCTATAAGCAAACTTGTGTTTCTGTTTCTTGGTTGTTTTGGCATATTTCCTTCCAGACTCACTTCCTAACTACTAAAGTTACTTAGTTTCTTTTTAGTAGACTTCATTTTGAATTTTTGAGTAGTACAAGTAAATTCTGTTTTGTCAAATTATTTAAGTAACTTTAAGTTTTAAAGTCCTAGAATCTTAACATTCATTATTTTAACCTCTGTCGTTAATGTTATTAGCTATAAGTGAATTTATGAGTAGATTTAAAAATAAAACTTATAATCCTTCCCTTCCTACACATTACCATCTTTTAGTTGAATTGCCAATGTACCAACATGGTGAATTGTGAAAAGTTATATTGTGTCCACTATTTTAAAACAAATATAAGCCAAGCTCAAAATAGTTGTTAATGAAAATGGGGTGTTTCGGAGGGAAGGGAGGTTGTGCTGCAATTTTTGCTTTGAGGTCTGCTGCATTTCTTTGCAGATATTTCAAATCTTCACTTTCCTATTTCCTCATGATGATGGCTTCACCTATCTTTCAAAATAAAATATATGCTACAGATACCAGGAATGATAGTGAATATTTTAATATACTCCTAAGCTTACGTTTATGAAATTTATTACTGCTTGATTATAGGTTATATACTCTTCCTCTTGTGAACATGTAATGATTTGTATTTTGTGTTTTCTTTTATATGCTAGAGACTTCAAAATACTACAGCAAATACCTGTATTAAAAATTAAAACTTTATATAGTTCACAAGTGTGCCAGAAAGTTGGCTTATCCTTTTAATGTTTAAAGTAATTTATGCTAGGATTTTTAGCATAATGTTAATATTAAAGTTTTGATGTTACTACACTATTAGAAGTCTAATTTGGGGACTTACTGTTGTGAAATAGGAATTGACTTTCATACTGGTAATTGAACCTTGTTTTGTAGGGTTAGCTTGGAGAAAATATTTTTTTATGTAGATTATTTCTGCAGTTTTTTTTTTTAAGATGACAAAGATGAATTACTATTTCATGTATATTGCTAATATTGATTACTAAAATAGTTTTGACAGTTTGACAGTTAAAGGCATTTCCTCTGAAATGATGCTAGTATGTATTTAACCATGCAGATCCTCAGTTTGTGGTCTGCCAGCTAAAGGTGAAGATATATTCCTCCAATTCAGGACCGACACGACGAGAAGACAAGTTCATGTACTTTGAGTTCCCTCAGCCGTTGCCTGTGTGTGGTGACATCAAAGTCGAGTTCTTCCACAAACAGAACAAGATGCTAAAAAAGGTTTGTGCTTTACTTTTATTGGGGAAAATTTGTAACATAGCCATACCTTAAAGAGTAATCGCTGATCTTTTCCTTAAAGCCTTTGGTTGGTGGGGGCTGGCAGGTAACGTGGTGGTTGGGGTACTAGACTTCCACATGGCTGATGCAGTTGGAATCCTGGACCTGGTGACTTGCTTTCCGACTTTCCCTTTCTTTCCCTCTCTGGCCAAATTTTAAAAATAATAATAATAGCAAATAAAAAAATAATTCTTTACCATCAAACCCCCCCCCCCAAAAAAAAAAGCCTTTGGTTGTTAGAAATCATTCTGTTAGGAGGGATTAAATGATATATTTTATAACTTACAATCTAATGAACTATAATTCGTTTCCTTTAGATCTGCAGATGCTTTGCTTAATGTGGCATTGATGAGACATTATAATGAGAAATAATCCTGTTCAGAAAAAGTCGATATGGCATCGTAATGAGATGAATTTTTTTTTTAACTTGGGTTATGCAAAGAAATTTAGAAAAAAAAATTAAAGATTATATAGATATCCCCGTTAAACAGTGACAGTCTTCTTAAAAACATGATTAGCTGAGAAGAATTAGCACATGATCATAAGTTTAAAAAGGTTTGGTTTGGGACCAGCACATGGCTTAATGGTTATGTCACTGGACTCCCATGTAGTTGACCACAGTTTGAGTCCCGGACCTGGTGGCTTAAACTCATACCAGACACATGTGCGTGTGTGTCCAAGATCCCGAGAAGAGAATGGAGAGAAGGGATTGTGACGTAGCCATCTCCCCTGGGGTTTGATTTCTTGTTTTCTGTCTCTCTGTCTCTCTCTGTCTTTCTGGTGAGTGCACGCGCTCTATAGCAAAAAACCTCTGGGAAAAAAACGGTTTTTGGTTGATAGGTAGAAATAAGCTCTGTTATGTGGTCATGTATAATAAAACAAAGTACTTTTCCGCCATTTTGATTTGTTTATTGAGGCTTGGTTATTTTATACTTAACTTCTCCAGATGTACTGAGTATTTAGTTTTTTAGCTCAGAGAGAAATATATGAAGAGGAAGTAATAAAATTGAAAAAAGGGTCTGGCAGGTGGTGTGATGGTTAAGGGCTCTGGACTCCCCACATAGCTGACCACAGTTCTAGTCTCTGACCTGGCAACTTGCTTTCTCACTTTCTGTTTGTCTCTCGTTCTCTCTGTCCCTCTCTGGTCAAATTTTTTTAAAAATAAATAAGTAAGTAAAGTTAAATAAAATAATTCTCTTTAAAAAGAGTGAAAAAATAAGGTATTATTTAAATATGCAGATTTAGAAAGTTAGTGAGGTCTACACTTTACTGAACTACATTTAGAGAATGCTGGAGCACATTTTAAAACAAACTACCTTGATTTGAAAGATTAAGTGTAAACATTAAAAATGAACCTAAGATGAAGAAAAACTCTTAGTGATGAAGAAAAGCACTAATTCTGGTTCATGTTGCTACCTTTTAAAATATATTATTGAAGAGATAGTTAGCATATTGCCAATTTTTAGACATTCTTAGTGATAGGACTGACTTAATTTTCTTGATAACTAAAACTTTTTTCTTTTAAAAAATTAAAGAAAATTTCAAATATTTTAAATGCTAGTTTTAATCTTTTTTTATTCAGAATCCAAATTTATTATTGGATTTTATTATTGATTATTTGGAATAATCACAAAACATTAAACTGATTTTGTTCATCAGAAACCCATTTCTTATTTCATGGTATCAATAAATTTAAATATATCTCAATAACTTTGACAGATTTTTTTCTTTAATATTCAAGTATTACCAAATATTTTAAGATAACTAGTAAGTTTTGGGGGGTTCTTTTTCCTGTTTATTATATGACTCTGGTACACATAACACTTTATGTTATCCTTTAGAAATAGGCTCTTACCATTTCCCTATGCTTTTAGGAGAGTACTAATTTTTATTTCAGTTCTTATTTAAAGGTTAAATACTTATATTTGTGTATCTTGGAGGACATAAATTTCCATTTTATGTTATTTTCCCTGCCTTATTTTAGTGCTGCTGTTTAAACAAAGAAAAACAGATTTAGCGTATTGAATAAGGAATCTACATTTTCAGAAAATTAAGCATTATTTATTCTTTTCTGACTCTAAGTAAAATATATTTCCTAACTCAATTACTTTGTTGAAATAATTGAAATACCAGTTTTTAAAAGGATTTGTCACAGGGCCAGCAAGTACTGTGGTGATTAAGGGTGCTAGACTCCCACGTGGCTGACCACAATTCGAGTCCTGGACCTGGGGGCTTGATTTTTTAATTTCCTTCTCTCTCTTTCTTGCTCTGTACCTATCTGGTCAAATTATATAAGTAAATAAATAAATAAAGTTAAATAAAATAATTATTTAAAAATAATAATAATAAAAAAGATTAGTCACATAGAGAATTGCCTATTTGGACATACAATCTTTTTTCTCTTTTTAAAGGTTTTCACCATAGGGTGTGTGCCCTCACTGGAGAGGAAAGAAACAGAGAGAGAAAGGGACATACCACCCCCTGGGGGAATACTATATCACAATCCCTTCTCCTGGGATTTTGGACATGCACGTACATGTGCGCGGTGTGGTTCCAAGCCCCAGGTCCGGAACTTGTACTTCAGTCAGTCATGTGGGGCTGCAACACCTTAACCACTGTACCACCTGCGGGTACAAGGCATAAGATCCTTAAAGGTCTTGTCTTTTTGCAGAGGAAACCTGAAGATAAATTTTAAAATTTATTTATTAAATTTTATTGTCAGAGGACATGTTTGCTTGCCAGAGAGAGAGCAACAGATAGAGAAAGCGAGCACCACCACCTTCCAGGCAGCGGGGGTGGTGGGGATGGTTACACTGCACTCCTTTTTTCAGCTTCTCCATCCCATCAGGATTTGGGGCAGGTATTGCACATGTACCCAGAGTGTTTTCAAGCCAATGGGACTGGGATTCAAACTGTAGTTGGCCATGTGGGATCTGACTTACTATGTACTGTGTTTAAACTCTGAGTTATGGTGTTGGCCCTAGAATAAAAGGTTTAAATGGTAGTTCAAAGTACCAGATAAGATGTTGCAAAGCTGTATGTCAGTAATTATCAGATGATGCATACAAATGAGATTTCTGTTATGGTCAAGAAAAGTTTGAAGTGATGACTTTGCTATGGTAGCTTTGGGTTTTTTTGTTTGTTTGTTTGTTTGTTTATTAAGAAGGCCTCATGTTATTACTAAGACGTTTTATTTTGTTTTTTAAATGATAGACAGTAGTCTGGTGGTTAAGGTGACTAGATCCCATCTGGACAACTGCGAGGTTTGTGTCCTGGGCCAACAGCTTGAAAAACATGCTGAACATGTGGGCATGTATGCCCAAAATCTTGAGAGGGGAATGGAGGAGAAGGGACTGCTGTGTGGCCATCCCCCGGGGGGGGGGGGGGTTGCATCTCTCTCTCTCTCGCTCGCTCCCTCCCCTTCTCCCTTTTCAGCAATGAGTGAACATACCCTTTAGCAAATTAAACAACAATAAAAGACATTTTATGATATAAAAAGAAACCATAGCACTCTTCTGTCCTCACACCCCCTCCTGGTGTTTTATTCTAAGAGTTTTCAGGCATATTTTGGCCATATAGTCAACTGGAGCCACTTTGTTTATATTGCTGTAGAAGTAGACATGTATCTGCTGTGCTTTATATGTGGCACTGACTTCCTAAGAACTTTGTTAAAGAAAATCTTGGCGATGTCTCAGCTGTGCTGGCACATGCTGCTAAGATGCTGCTGCTTGGAGGCTGAGGCCCCATGGGAGGCCCAGATATGATGCCTCGCCTGCCATCAACAGGTGGGCACATAGCATATGCCTGTGATCAGAGCTAGCTGGGAGACCATGGTAGGAGGATTCTGATATGGTGAGACCTTGCCAAAAGCCAACCTCTCTAATTCTTTCTCATAAATGAATGGATGAATGAATAACTTATTTTTTTTGGGGGGGGTGGGATTTTTGCTATAGGATGTGTGCGCTCGCCAGAAGACAGAGCCAGAGAGACAGAAAGAGAGAAATCACCCCCTGGGGCGATGGCCACTCCACAGTCCCTTCTTCATTCTCCTCTCGGGATCTTGGGCATGTATGCACATGCACCCAGCTTGAGTTTAAGCTACTGGATCCAGGACTTGAACCATGGTTGACCACATGAGAGTCCAGCGACATAGCCATTACACCAACTGCTGGTCCCAGAATGAGTAACTTTTGAAAAGTATATCTTAGAATAGATAGCTCATTGAAATTTAGAGAAAATTAAATCTATATCTGAATTTTGCTTATACACTAATTCAAAGCATTTTTAAAAAGCTATTAGACTGGAAAAGAGATATTTTACTGAAATTTTAAGATAAAAGTGTGAGGTATCTTGGTCTTAAGATTGTAGTTTTTATCCTGTAATTTGAATTAAAGAAAACTATGAGAATGTGACAGATAACCCATACATTGCTGTAAGTCTGTGTTTATAGTGATTGAAAATATCAAATGTTGTTGACATCTTGGTGCATGTGTTGAATATAGATGACTTTTTAAAAAAAATAATTATTTATTTCTTCTTTGTAGGACAAAATGTTTCACTTTTGGGTAAATACGTTTTTCATACCAGGACCAGAGGAAACCTCAGAAAAAGTAGAAAATGGAAGTCTCTGTGATCAAGAAATTGA